GTTTACGGCGGCGCGACTTGACAAAGAAGCATGCACACTTCAATGAAGTCGCCCTATGAAAGAAGGTTGGGAATGTGAAATAAAGAGACATACAAAAACTATATGAATGTCGGATATGAAGCCATCATGTTTATGACTACATGCGTATGCTGAAGATGTCAGGTTTGTCTCACACTGCTGACAACGCAATGTCCCGCTTCTTTGTTAGTTCCGTCCCTCAATGACTAAAAAGGCACAGTGTGTGAGACACGTGTATAAGTGTTCATAAAACTACACAAGTACTGAGACAGCATGAATATTTTCCTCAATGAAGAAGTCGCGGGCCCCGACATTCGTTGCCTTCTGCGGTGTGCTCGCCTTCGGGAAACCGACAACCCGAGATGGGGTTTTTCGTCTTGTTCATAAGTGGATTTTTTCTTTTTAATTATTTTGTTTCAGACAGTACAGAAACTAGTTTTGATGTTTTAGATGTTTATTTCGTATAACCATGTTATTCAACTGAACAAATATTTGGAAAATTGACATTTGAGTGAACTGATATTTGGGTTCAAAATGATTGAAACGAAAATTACAAGTAGAACAAAACTTGAGACTTCCAGTCACAATGAGATTCAAACTGTTACATTAAGACAAATGAATAGTAAGTATGTCTACTTATTTTTATTCTAGTTTGTTTGGCAATTTAGAACTTTTTGCGTATTTTTTGTGTTCAGCGCTCGAGATACAAAGTGTGTGGTGCTACAGAATGGCACAGACTTTCCCTTATTAGTTTTGCATTTCGTATGGTGGTACCATGTTTCGAAGTTTTATAAACAGGCATTTCTTTCATTTTCCTATCAGCTTTGCATTTGAGCTGTTGGTTCCATTCGTAATTTTCGCCGAATTGTAAGGTTAAAAGCTTCCAAATATCAATTACTTAGAAGTTCTTTATTGCTAATCACCAACTCGTATACAAACGTATTTACGGAGTAATATCCGTTGTCCAGAGAAAGTTAGGTATGTAATGCTGCGAAAAATCGATTTCGAGATTCCAACGGAAATACACGCGTTGGGATCCCCTGATACCGAAAAACTTTTTTTTTTAATAGATATTGTCTGGTCGATCTGACTCAACTCGAATTTGAAAAACTTTCTTTAACATTTGGGGATAATTTATAAAGTTTTCCAAATATTTTCATGAAGTTTCTCGTAAGAATAGAGTAAAATACACTTATAAAGGCGAGGCGGAGCATAAAATATTATTAATTCCATTTTACATTGCAGATAGAATTCGTTCATTTGTATGTCTAATAAATGATTTGATAAACACTTGGTTATCCCTTAATCCTTCACCTGGTAAGCTATAAAGAGTATCGAAAAGTTGCCTAATTTGGATCATTGCCATATTTGACTGCATGCGGATTTCTATGCCCAAGACACTATTAACAAAATAGCACAACTTCCTAAAACATCTGACATAGAAGCGACTGGAAGAAGAGGAAAACCATAAAGGGCAATTTTAATAACAAATACCCAAAAAACAGCAACTAGAACAAACGGAAAGACTACTTAGAACATTTTTAGAAAATAGGAAGAGAAAATTAGGTATAAGGAACAAAAACTCAAAGAACATTGCAATGTCAATTAATCTAGTTGTTCCTTACGATATGTGAATAGGAAAAAAAGAAGTTAAGGTTCATATTCAGTGTCTGGAATGTAGATTAATGTGTTCACAACCTTGTGCGAAAGTAAAAATAATAAATCAATACGCATAAATTGCATGGGTTAAAACTAATTCTAAAATATGAAAACGAATCCACTATTTTGGTTGTTAAAATCGTTTAATATCCCATTCTTTGAAATCTTTTATTAAATAGAATGGTGCAGTACTTCTGAATGGTTTCTTCGTGTAGTATTACATGGTGTTTCTATTAATTTGGAAGACTAAAATTGATTGAAAAATTTAATGTATGTTAGAATATAAATAGAAATGCTTTTTACTTTCTCGACTTACTACGTAAGATGTGAAAGTATTGTAATCTGCGCTGAAAATTTAAAATCAGAAAAACGTTTATTGCTGGGCTCTGTTAACGAAAAAGTCATATATAGTAATAAATGTCTGCCTCTAGCACGTTGTGTGGTCAGAATCCATGTTTTGTGGGCCCATGATACCGAAAAATGAATTAACGGTACAATATCTATCTGTCCCTTTGTCTCTCTGCAGTCCACGCTAGCTCCTCAACTCTTTAGATGATTTTCTCCAAAATTTATATTCTCCAGTTAATATGAACGAACTCAAGACCTTACGAGTTTGAAATGGATATTTTTATTCTTAGGGGTACTTCTTTACACGAAGCCTCAAAATGTTAAAATTGTCTCAAAAATAGCTACAATTTTTTTGATTAAACTTTGTTCTCGGATAGCGTAAGAAACGGTTTAAAACAACACAGATCTCATTTTCGTTGAAATCTATGGTTACGAAAATTTTAAAAGTTAGAAACAATGCGAGAAAGTATGTGCTGTTGTAGCAACACTAGTTCAAATATTATCTTCATTATTAGAATGAGGCATGAAATTACTTAAGCAAATTACATTTACTTTTTACAATAGATTATTGCTTATTGCCTGCGATACGCAGCTCGACATATACTGCATAACTTACCTGCAACGAGAAGATCGTGTTTATGAGGGAAATATTGCTTCATTGAATGATGGTACATGTTCTGTTATGGAGGGAACTGCGACAGTGAATTATGGTAGAGAAATACGAAGAGACAAGCCGAGTCGAGTTAATAAGTAAACCAGTATCTCTAAAATTAGTTTAAAAAAATCGTGGATGTATCACAGGCTTTAACTTGTTCTAATGATGTCGGGAGATAAAACGCCCTCCCGTCAAAGGCCCTCGGGCTTTTGCCGCCGCACGATCATCAGAACCCTTACAACACATCTGGTGCAAAACAACGAGTAGAGATTTGTAATTCCCAAGAGATTTGTAATTTCTTCCTAAAAATTCAACCTATGATTTCTCTCTACCACCTAAATTAGTATTTATTATTTATTTTCGAAAAATACTTTACTTTTTCCCAACTTTTCCACGTGCGCAATTCTTTTGAGATCCAACATAAAAACAGTGAGTTCTAATTAGGCAAATGATATTCTGAATTGGAGCCGGTAGCAGATTTTCAGTACTTTTCAGTTGTTGACCAGAAACAGAAATTATATAAAATATTATATTTCATTATGAATCCATAGATTATTAATTATTGTTGGAAATATTCTGTTGTAACGGACTCTCTATTGAGATCATAGTAACCAAAAACACAAAACTGTTTCACATTTGGCCACTTTTCCTCATGATGAATTACTATGGCATATTTTTGAGCATACTTTATGATTTTATTAGTTTTTTACAGCCATAAAAAGGTATTCGCTCTGAATTGATTTCATAATCCGAGTAATTGCGTTTCGCAATCTGGTTCTTGTAATCAACGCACCACCCTCTGCGGAGTGCACTGAACGTCGCCTATAATTGGAAAAGCGCTTCTGCGCGCTCACATTCCTGAAAACGAGCCGTTCAATTACGGCTCATTCTACCATGAAAGTTGCACCATGAATGTAACGGAATCTTTAAGAAACGAGTAGTTGAATCACGGTGTGTGCATTTGAGGTTTTGCTTCCTCACCGCGAGTCGGCAGAAGTCGCTTTCGTCCCGAGAAGTTCACTGCCCTGTCTGGCGGGAAGTGTGCAGTCGACGGCGTGAGTGCTCACGATAAGGGGATCCGGTGGGCGGTACGAGATTTCGGTGAAGGCCAAATTTGCGAGTTCCACGGATGGTATGGTGTTTTTCACTGCTGTAGCACTGCAATAAATAAATCTATCAGAAGAACCGGAACGTTCACATTATTTGGAAACGAAATTTCAAACTCTACATTTGACAGTTTTTGAAGAGAATTGAAATTTTTTGAATGGATAAAGTGACTTCTAAAATATTTTCTTTATTTTTTTAAATGGACTAATGAACGCTAATGGCGCAACTGCAATTTTCATTGAAACCACTGAATTTTTTGAAAATACTGAAAATTAATTGTTTTTCGATGTCGTCATATCAAGCTACCTCATTGAGCATTGGTATTTTTCTGAATGAAATCTGTTATTCAAAATTAGATCTTTAAATAATGTAAGGTACATTGTACTGCATTTTATGTGAATTTTTTGGAACTCTAGCCTTATTTTGGCGGTTTATGAAGTGTTGGCTGAATTGTTAGTATAATAAAGAATTGCCAATAATACGAGAATGTGTAGGTGTTGTAGCTCCACTAGTTTATTTCACTTTGATCTGGTTTTTGTTCTGGTTTTCAATCATCGACATAGCATAAGTGTAGAAAAAGCATATTAATAAAGAATGTTGCTTATGATGTAAATAAGTTTCTTACTGTTTTCCGTTAAAAGCCAAGATTTTTGTTTACTTTTTAAAAATTTGATATGTCCTTTTCCACAACAATGCGATAATAGCAAACTAGCGATAATAGCGAAATTTAACAACAGAGCTTCCCCACTGAAATGTTTCAGTGGATGCATAGATAGAGCACCCCAAATATTTTGGAAATCGTGTAATGTGGTGATTTTTATTGGCTTCTATTCTCAACTAAAATGTCCACAGGCCGCTATTGAAACAGAGTTGCAATGGGAGAAGAGGCAAGTCAAAATCTCAACACGGCTGTCGTCGGTTCTCCCTTGACAGCACCCTTGATTCCTTGATACTTGTGTTCAGATTTAATGCTGATATTAGTGATCAACATGTTAATAGTAAGAAGCATACAAATGAGAGAATGGTGGAAAAGGAGGCAGAGGAAACGGGCCCTGAAATTGCTTTTTTCACCACAAATTTCACTTGGATCAGACAGGGATCGAGCCCGGGTCCTGGTCCTGGGAGGCGAATAGTCAACCAAGTACGCCATGGGTTGCATTCCATTTTGCCTATCCTCCCTCTGCATTCCTTGCAAAGATTAAACCAGGACAGAGCTGTTATGTTGTTTAGAGAATTTTAGCTAGTTCTGCAGTGTTTGCGCTTCGAGTATTGGCGTTTGTGATCTTTATATGAATTGCATATGTCGTTGCTTTAATGTGCTTTGTTCTACCTTCATTCTATCCTTGCCAATTTCTCAAATACAGATTGATCTTTAGGACATCGGTAAACAGGTGTCAGTATTCAGGAAACAGAGTGAGGGCTAAGAAAATAGTACGCCACCGCAGAGTGCTCAAAAACGAACAAAAATCTAAATGCATTGATATATTTTAAATGAATCGAAATGTGAAATGTTGAGCCAAATATTGCGAAATATTGAGCAAAGTATGTATTATTTTTACTGGTGTTCATTAGAAAAAGTAGTACGTTTTTGTTCTTGACCAAGCAAATGTTAGGTGTAATCACTTTGTTGAAACAGACTGTTCGTTTTTTATCAAAAATACCAACTCATTTTTGACCACAACTAGTATAAAAAAGAAGGTGTTGGGATGTATTGTTGTGAAATAAAAGTAATTGCCTGTGTGTATCGATTTCAAGGATATTCAAAAATATTTTATAATGTAGTATTTTATAACGACAGTTGTTTTCCTTTCATGTTACTGGAAGCTAAATATGTTCAGAAGTTTTTGTCGCGATGGTTACGTATCTTGGCTTTTGAATTCTCCAACTCGTGATAATTTTAAAACAATAGAAGAATAGCATATAAAATAAGTCGATAGTAAATCAACCTCGAATAATGAATACACTTTTTCTTTCTGTTCTAAAGGTAATCACTCAACAGTTAGACACTCTTTATGTGCTTGGAAGTTGTTCTGATGAGCGTGAGCCGTCATGTCAAATCAGTTGCACTTCTGATAGCCAGAGATGTCTGTTGTTCACAACCAAAGAAACGAGACATGAGTCGTCATGGAGGTCGCAATAAAGGCAATTCGATCGGCATGCTTTCAATATTAAATTATTGTGATTACCTCATAAGTACATCCTAGTTTGGGTATCATAGTATAATAATTTGTAACGTTTTTCACCACGCTAATGACTTTTGATAGATTTTCATCATTCAAGAATAGATATTTGAAAATCAGACATTCTCTTCACGATAATACGTCAGTTTTCCCTATTCTTTCAAAATTGTTTTATGACGAAAGGCTCACGCAGAATTTTTTTCTGGAAAGGGGAGTACAGGTATATTGTACAGCATCCTTGATATTTCCTTATAAAGAATTGTCTGTTTATTCAAAACATAAAAGTTAATTTTTATTTCTTGACTAATAATTAATATTTATGACGTAAACAATTGATATATTAAATGATTTTTATTAGTATTGAAAATTACTAAAAGCGGTAGATTTTATTGTTTCATTGGTATCTGGTGGAAGGCTGACTCCATGACGACACCCCCGCTTTCGGTTCACCACTGTTTATGATTGTTATTCAATATAATCTGAGAGGTATAGATCTCCATAATATTCAACAAATTTAAAAATTGATAATTATTTGGTTTTACATCGGCCTTTTTTTTTTTTTTTCGCGCGCGCGAGTTTAGGTGTATTGGGTCCGTAATTAAGTCGCTTAATCCCTGTTTCTTTTGTTACTGTTGTAATTTATTATTTAAGGTTTTATTTCACTTTTAGAGAACGAAAAACAACAGAATATTCTACAAATAATTATCAATCAGAGGAATTGTGTATTAGGTAGTTCTCAGGTCGTCAAATTAACAGTTTCCTGCGAATTTACTTAAATTATTCCGAGACCCTCCTCGAAGAAAATCCCCAGCAAAGACGTTCATACTTCATTGCATATTATTAATTTATTACATACCAATTATAAGAGTGTATTAACGTAACATAAGATTGGACATTATGTGGTTTAACTTAAAAAATCCTAGAGCAACGTCACTCTCGATAAAGTGAACGTCACTCGGAAGGTAATTGCGTGCCTGGACGTCATCCGGGAACACGTAGTGTAATGGAGAGCGCCTACGCCTTCCGGGTGGGTTCCGGATTCGATCCCTGACTAACCCATGTGCATTTTGTGGAGGAAAAAGTGAAATCTTTCCTGGAACTCGTGGGGTTCTCCCGATTCCCCTGCCTCTCATTTCACCATCATCATTCGCTCAATTGCCGTTATCGCTATCAGGTGATCATTAAATCACTACTCAAGGTCTTGAATTATCCCAGAAGCTGAGAGTCCCTTTGCCCGAATAAACAAAATAAATGCAACTTTCCTGAGTTCGTGTCATTCACATGCATACAAGTCACTGCAATCTCGACCATCCAGAGTAATAGCCGACCTCTCCGAAATCGAAACTTTATGTCGTAATTTCGTGGGGAATGCAGATGAGTTGCCAAGGAAATCCGGACGACCCACTTACCATTCTGAGAAGGAAGTTACCTGCGCTGGCGCGGGTCTTCCCCCGTTGCGCCACGCATTCCTGTGGTTCATCTCGGATTCTGTACGGCTTGTTCCAGGGGCCGTTACTAGACGTAATAAACAAGAGACGTGGTCATCGCGGAGTCTAGCTTCATAGTTACTTGTTTTTCTGAACTCCAAGGAGCAAATTTTGCGCCCGAAAGATACAAAGAATACGTAAACAATTTCGTTATGGCACAACACCACTCAATTTGCGATTCTCATTGCTGGCTTTTTCATGTGTGAGCTGTGTCATTTCGTTCCGGATGAAACAATAGTCGCAAACTTCCACGCAAACAGTCTACGAAGCAAGCAAACCTGCTAATTGAGGGAACCCTATATCCAACGCTATGCATACAGGAAGAACCAAGGACAAGATGGCCGGCTGGCAGGCACTAGGTAGGACGGGGGACAACTTGAGTCATTGACCTCCCGACGCTCCGAGTCTGTCCGAAGCGTTCCGAGCAGCGACGCGGCCGCGCCGCCGGGGCCTCTGCACGGCGCGGAGGCGCGGGGCGGGGCGGCTCGGGGTGGGGAAGGGCGGGCCAAGAGGCGGGGAGCAGCAGGCGAGGCGGCGCGGGGCCCCGGCAAGCGGCGGGGAAGCCAGCCCGCCGGCCTCCGTGCTATAGTCCCACCGCCACGCCACTCCGCCACGCCGCGCCGCCACAAGCGCGGCCGCAGTGCTGTAAAGCCACGCTGACCAGCCCCTTCCCTCCTTCCGCTGACCCTTCCCCCCGTTGAAAATCTGTAGCTTCTATTTCCTTTGACACGTTCTCATCAGTGTGTCATTCTCTCCACTTTTCATATGAGCCGCCTGACGTGAAAAGAAACATCAAGCGGCGAATCGTTTAGGCAGCACCAGTGAGAAATTAAGCTCAGTCTATTGTGTCATAAAATCTTGAGATGAGCAGTGATTGTGAAAGAGCAGCATAGCAAGATCTTGGAAAGAAGTCACTGAGAATCCGTGCTTTAGCATAGTGAATACCAGAATGTCTTTGGGTGATCAATGTAGAATTTTATTTTTTCCTTTATAGTAATTATACAAAACCAGCGAAGATTTTCAACTGAAAGAGCAATTTTAAATTATTAATACATTTTAAGTTCCTTGGAAAAGTTGCTCAAATTAATTTCTGAATTAAACTAAAAATCATTATCAATTTCAATTTCCACTAGATCAAATCTTCTACAATAGATATTACTGTACGTTCATAAAACTATGTGCAATTAGTGCTACGAATAGGACTCGGATAATAATAGCTAAAACATTCACTTTAATAGTGTTTCCATTCACGGATAAAAAAGTTACATAATCTTCATTTTCTTTTGCCTGCTATTGCCATCAATGACTAATTTGTTTCTTCAATACAATCAGATTTCGTTGTTTCATTAATATCCACGAGTAATAGCAAAGAAATGTTTTGGTAATCACAGTGACACATCCAAGTGTGTATGTGTGTGTGGGTGCGCGGGACTCACGAAGCTCCAGTCTTCATTCAGAAGCCGATGACACATATTTACAATTATAGTTTTTACTAAATTTCAATTGTAACGAGAGTCATTTAGTTTTTAATTGAATACAAATAAATAACTATAAATCAACAAATTAAATAACTGTTAAATTCAGCTGGACACTACACCTATATCCCCTCCTACTCAAAACTTCTGGTTGCGCCACTGGCTAATGCTAGTGGTTCAGTAATTATTTTATAGTAGTTCATTAATTACTTTTACATTTCCTTTCCTCTCTTTTGTACACTTTGAAGTTCTAAACATTCTACGTTCTAAACATTTGCGGTTATGCATGCTCGTTAGTGAGGTTTGTGAGAAAGTGTGGTTTCTAAATTATCGAAAACAAATTTATTATAATTGTATTGCTGCAAAGTTATGTCCAATTTGTAAGTTTGTAAATTGATAAATTACTAATTTATAACTAGTAAATACCTTTGATGGTGTAGGTACCTGTTTATTATCACATGTATTATATTGTAAATGTGATTCTTTGGTAAGTTTCACGTTTTGATGAAAATATCGATATAACACTTAAGAAAAGTACCACAGAACAGTGAATAAAATAAATGTAATATTAATAATAATAATAATAATAATAATAATAATAATACAAACAACAATAGTGAGGTGACCATCAATAGGAATCTGTCCTCCAAAAAGACTTCTGGTCCTGAGACTGATGTCCGTCGCCTATCTTCCTCATCTCCGACTTGCCTTCTGCTCACCGAGGCTCGCCACAGACCCATTCTGTTGCGACCATTCCTGCCGGCAACCAGTCCTGCCGCCGGCAAACTGCCACCAACCACCTTATCGACAACCAGTCTCACCGGAAACGCTCTTCTCGCTAATCAGAAGCCCGGCTAAGCCTTCGTGGACCACCCTAGCAACAGGAGGTTTTGAAGTAACAAATAGACGTTGTGCTTTTGTACTTTCAATCGCAACTATATCGTTTGCCGCGTAGCGAGAATGATTGGGGCTGTGATGTAACACAAAATGCAACGAGTTTACTAGCCAAATTTACATTATAAAACAAATAAGAAAAAGATTTGGCCTTGATTGTTGTGACGTCTACAGAGAGCTACCTTTTAAGAAGTTGTTACTCCATTTCATTTCTTTTATCTAATTGTTTTATTTGAAAATTTAAAATATGGCTCAATAGGTAAGCAGCTCTTGTTTCTAAAGGACAGTAGTTGAAGTTTTGTACCGAGATCAATTGTCAGTAACAGGTTCCCATTTATCTATTATTAAAAGAATATTTGCTTACAGAATCTCTTGGTCCCTTGCACCTCATCGTCAAGAAAAGATAATGTTAAATAAGATATTCTTCTTTGAACCGTGTCCTACATTTCTGTTCATAAATTACAAACTGAAACTTCCAGAAATTTTTAAGGATAATGCACCACAGCAGATAACTCGCTGGTAGTACTATACGTACAAAATATCTTAAAATTATGAAAAGACAATTGAAAATATTACGGACAAATTTGAGGCTGATTTTGTACACCTAATTCCAGATTAAATAACTCTGTAAGGTTGTTGAGAGTGTTCAACATAAAGTACCTAGGAAAACCTTTCTATTGTCCGCCAGATAATGAAGTGCATTGACTTTTAGAAAAAAATATTTGTTTACCTGTGAATTTTAATTTGCGTATTTTATGCACATTTAAAAGAAAATATACTGGTGATGATATGTCACATTTTAGACATTTTACGTCACATAAATTCGGTCCCTAGTTATCTTTATAACTGATTAAAAGTCCCTCTTAATCAGTTTTCGTCTTCCGGTCTCGCCCTCCAATCAGAAGCCATTCACTTTTTCTGCCACCTTATTTTTGTTGCGTGTTCTCTACATATTATTTCTTCCTTCAATTCTTTTCCTTATCGCGACTGGTGCTTGGGTGTCTGTTCTAATCGGCTGGTGTGCAGTCATTCCCCGCCTGACCCTGCCCTTGCCTACAACCCCTCTGTCATCTCTTTGCCTGTCACGCCTAGGCCACCTCAGCTTCACGACCGTCCAACACTCTGTGCGGCTTCTCGAAGCGTCGCCAGTGGAAACGCATGTCACCGCCCGACGCATGCTCCGTTGGGACTCCGTGTTCGCGAGCGCACGCGGCGCCGAGCGGCAGGGCCTCTGGGAAACGGTCGGCGGAAACCGCGGCTGCGCGCGGGGAAGAGGGGGCGGGGAGAGGCGGGGAGGGCATGCT